TAAATTCAGGCATTTACATATGTAAACATATATATGTATATATAACTAGAGGGAAATAGAGAACTATGTACTCATATCTATATGTTAAGAATTAAGGTTGCAGATGGACATTGGGTCTTGACTCAAGTACTCCCTCAACACAAGCACACTTTGTTCTAACAATTCGGTATTCTGTGATGCTCACCTTCCTGACACAATCGCTGAAGACAAAATGGGTGTAGAAGTAAATGTGGTGAAGAAAGCTGATGGAGCCCGGCTATCAAAAGATATAGTGTCTGGGGTCTTAAAGGCTTGAAGGTAAACAAGCAGCCATCAAGCTCAGAAGCAACAAAGACCACATGGAAGAAGCACATCAGCCTGTGTGATCATGAGGTGTCAATGGGATCAGGTACCAGGCATCTAAGACCCAGAACAAAATCATATCCAAGTTGAATGGGGGGCGGGGGGCATGGAGTGGAGACCCAATGCCCATTTGTAGACAATTGGACATCCCCCTACAGAGGGGTCACAGGGAAGAGATGAGCCAGTCAGGGTGCAGTATAGCACCGATGAAACACACAACTTTCCTCCAGTTCTTTGGTGCTTCCTTCCACCCACTATCATGACCTCAATTCTACCTTACAAATCAGATTAGACCAGAACATGCACACTGCTACAGATAAGAGCCTGCAACACAGGGAATCCAGGATAGATAAACCCCTCAGGGCCAACAAGGAGAGTAGAGATACCAGGAGGATTAGGGGAGGGGGGGGGGAGGAATTGATCACAAGGATCAAGATATAACCCCTTCTCAGGGAGACAAACAATGGAAAAGTGGGTGAGGGGCAATGGAAGATGATGTAAGACATGGAAATAATAACCTATAACTTATCAAAGGTTCGTGACAGGGCGGGCAGGGGAGGGAGAGAGAAGAAATGGGGAGCTGATATCAGGGGCTCAAGTGGGAAGAGAATGATTTGAAAATGATGATGGCGGCATATGTGCAAATGTGCTTGACACACTGGAGGAATGTATGGATTGTGATAAGAGATGTAAGAGCCCCCAATAAAAGTGTTTAATAAAAAATATATATATTTTTAATCGTATTGAGTGTCAACCGGGTACAGGACTCTTCCAGTGACAAACCAGACGGACTTTCTACACAGAAGTGGCATCGTGGTAAGGGGGAGTAGATGATAAATAAGGTGCCCCACCAACAAAGAAAACACCGGACAAGGAATTTCATCTCAGACCAGCAGCAGGTGCTGTGGACGAAAGGAGGTGGCAGGGTGGTATGCTGTGTCGGCGGAGTGCTCAGGGCCCTTCTGAGCAGAGGTGTGAATGCCGGCCTGGTGGAAGGGCAGTCCACAAAGAGGGAGCAGGAGTCCTGAAGACAGCGGTGGGAATGATCTTGGTCTATTTGGGGAGCAGCAGGGAGGCTGAGCTGGTGGTGTAGTGGTCATGTGTCGGGCTGCTAAACAGGAGGTCAGCGGTTCAGCACCACCAGCCACTCCTTTGGCGGAGGATGGGACTTTCTACTCCTGTAAAGAGTTACAGTCTCGAAAACTCACCCGTCAGCATCGATTCCATAGCGGTGAGCTTGTTTTCTTTGTTAGAGGGAGGCTGGGGTGGTTCTCCCGGCTGAGTGAAGGGGAGATGGAGTTGGAGTCTTGCTTTCTTATAAGACCCCTTCCAGAAGTGAGGCTGGAGAACTCCTCGGGGAAGCCTGGGCTTGGGCCAGGGCCTGCCAACCCCACTGGCTGCGCCCAGCCCCGTGGGGCCCCGAGAGGCTGGGTCTCTTCCACCCCTGCTCTCCCTGGTGATGAGTCTTGGAGATGTTGCATCCTCTTACCCTGGGTCACCCGTCATTCTGGGAAGGATGGAAAATGAACCCACATCGGTCTGTCTGACCCGCAGCCCAGGTAGTGTTTCCCTGGGGCCAGTGAGATCGACCACGACAGGTGGGCTATGGGATCCAGGGCTCCCACCCTGGGCAGGCACATGCCAAGGTCACCAGCCCATGGGTAGGGAAGTGGGATTCGAAGCAGGTCTCCCGGTCTGCAATGGGGAAATTGGTAGGTGAGCAGGTGAGCTGCACTACGTCGCCTGGCCCCAGCACTCCTCCAGGGCCAGGGCAAGCTGGTTAATGGGTATCATTTCCACCCTCTCATTTCTAATAGGCACTGTGCTGTCATAAAGACTGTCATTTCCTGTGGCTCACGCAGGATAATCAACGTGCCGGCTGCCCGGAGGGCTGGGAATGGCAGTATCTGGGCACTTGTGTGAAGATAAAACCGTCCTCTCACTCACTGCGGGTCTGTCCTTTCCCGATCAGACACAGCCCTCGGGTTTGGGGGCAGGGGCCTGGGTTCTCCAGAGGCCCAGCTCACTGTACAGGATGGCTGTCACCTTCCAACCTGCTGTCACATCCCCTAACCAGGTGGCATGACTCTTTTCCTCCACGAGTCCTTTCCTCATCTGTAAAACGGGGGCGCGGATGCCCACCCCACAGGCTGGCTCCAGTGAGCTGGCACTATTCAAACAGGGGCCATGCCGTTGCTGCTTTACCCACAGCTGTGCCATTGTCTCCCGGGCACAGCGGCCCTAGGGGCAGAGACTAGGTCTTCACGGAACACACGGTCCTATCTTTCTCCCTTGGAGGGACGGGTGGGTTTGAACTACTGACCTTATGGTGAGCTGCCCAACGCTTGACCCACTGTCTCAGCAGGGCTTACTGCTGTTAGGTGCTATCGAGTAGGTTCTGATCGATAGCAGCCCGATAGATAAAGGGACGGAGCACTGCCTGGTCCGGCGCTGTCCGCACAATGGTTCTGTTCCGGGACATGCTGCAGCCGCTCTGTCGATCCAGCTCGTTGAGGGTCTGACCCTCTCCTTTAGCAGGCATGACACCCTTCTTCAGGACTAGTCCCTCCTGGTTCCGTGGCCCAGCTGCAAGAGAGAAAGTGGCCGCCCTCCCTTCTAAGGACATTCTGGCTGCACTTCCTCTGGGAAAGCTTTCTCTGCCCTCCTAGAAGTCCGACGCTTTGATTTGCTGTCCGGGAGGTGACTGAAGATACCGTGGCTTGGGTTAGATGCACCTTAATCCTCAAAGTGACATCTTTGCTCTTTCACAAAGATTTGTGCGGCAGATTTGCCCAAGGCGAATCTACTCTTTGATCTCCTGACTGCTGCTTCCATGAGCGTTGATTGTGGAGCTAAGCAAGATGAAATCTTGACAACTTCAAGCGCTTCCCCGATGCTCGTGGGCCCTGTTGTGAGGATTTTCGTTTTCTTTACCTGGAGGTGTCACCTGTACTGAAGGCCACAGTCTGTGATCTTTGAGTCCTCGTCACTTCCAGGAAGCAAGGTTGTGTCGTCCGGACATCAGGAGGTTGCTAGTGAGCCTTGCTCCCGCCCTGATGCTGTGTTCTTCTTGTTGTCTGGCTTCTGGCAGGACTTGCTCAGCACGCAGACTGAAGAAGTATGGTGAAAGGATGCACCCCCCGACACACGTCTCTCCTGATTCTAAACTGTTCAGGACCCCCACGTTCTGTTCAAAGGGGGGCCTCTTGGTCTTTGTTCAGGCTCAGCAGACGGTCACTATGGCAATGATGCTGCTGGGGGTGTCATAGGGACCATCACGTTTGGTAGGTGGAGATACTGAGGCCAGAGAATGGAACAGGTGGCCCCAGGTCACATAGCAAGTCAGCGGCAGAGCTGGACCTCCAACTTCTATACAGACTTATAAGTCAATGGAGATGGACAACACAAACCCTCACTGCCGACTCACACACAGTGACCCGACAGGACTGGGGAGAACTGGCCCTATGGGTTTCCGAAGTTGTGTCTCTCACGGGAGTAGAAAGTCCCGTTTTCCTCCCTCGGAGTGGTTTTGAACTGCTGATCTTGCAGTTAGTAGCTCAACTGGGAACCACTGTACTCCAGAGCTCCTGCAGTCAGTGGTAACAGTTTACTTTTATGGAGTCCTTCCCAGCCTCTGGCCACTGCCAGGCACTATACCAGGTAGCGCTCACAGCAATGAGTAAAGAGGCACGATTCCTCTCCTCAGATCTCAGAAAGACGAGCCACCTGACCAAGCTCACATACCAGCCGTGAGCCAGGCCCTGGTGGTGTCTGCTGAGGCAGAGCTCCCCGCCTGTGGAGCAAGCCTCGGGGGCCGGGTTCTCGGTGTGTGCACGCTCGTGCGTGGTCCCACTTTGCAGAAGGAGAAGTCCAGGCTCAGAGAAGCAAATGGACGGAGAAGCTAGGGCGGGAACCCAGGTCTCCAGGCAACCCCTTTCCTACCGCGGTTTGTGTCTTCTTCCTGGACTCTCTTCCCTCTGGTTTGCTTCAAGTCACCAGCTCAGCGACCCTCCCCTCCCGGCTGTTACTTGCCGCCAGCCCGCAGGCGTGCAGAGGGCAGCCATTTGTCTCAGTGGACTTGTTCAGGGCACACGCCTGGAGTTGGGCACACAGCCGGCAACCGGCCACAGTGTGTCAGGTCATTGCTTGAGCTCTACGTGAGCTACGGGCGTAACAGACACGGCGGTCGTGTGCGATTCACTGCACAGACACAGAGGGACGCAGGGGGAAACAAGCGGCAGGTTATGCATTGACATCTGTTCAGGTTTCGTTTTTCTTTTATTCACAAGATCGCTGCACTTCTTGATAGGTGGGCGGAGCTCTGGGGAGGGCTGGGGGTGCCGCCGAGGGACTCCAGAGGCCTGCTGGCAGGGCAGAGTTCGAGGCTCCTGTCTGCTCCCTGCGAGGAGCTTCCGCAGGCATGGTGGACAGGAGTCGTTCAGAGTGGACCACATGAGAAGGAGGGGGCCCCCAAAGGTCACTCATCTGAGACCAAGGGTTGGGCTGGGGAGCTGAGCGCAAGCCCAGGGGATACAAAGAGACACACCTGGGAAAAGAGGAGCTGATACCCAGGGCTCAAACAGAATGGAACTATTTTGAAAATGATGAAGGCAACATATGTTCAAACGTGCTTGATGCAATGAATGCATGGATTGTTATAAGAGTTGGAAAAACCCCCAATAAAATGATTTATTTATAATAAAAGAGTGAGAGAGACTTGGAAATTGGGAGTCAGATCTCAGCCAAAAATCACAAGATGCCCGAGGGACCACCTGCCCTGCGCTGCACCAGCCACCCCCAGGCCCAACGTCACAGCAGCATCAGGACCACAATGGCAATGACCATGAGCACGCCAGCCAGGATGCACAGGCCCAGGAAGACAACATCACTGGTGTCCTGGGCCCCCATGGCCAGGGCGCCCGCCAGCACCTCGGCCTTGGCCCCGGGCGGGGCTTCCTGCAGGTGCTCCGCCGTGGCGGCATAGGGGCGGAGCCAGGCGGAGCCAGACCGCAGGTGGACAGCGGCCTCCTTGCGCCGCGGCTCACAGAGGACCTCGTACTCGTGGATGTCCTCCCGGTCGCCCGCTGAGAAGTCGATGTACAGCACGCTGACGATCACCGAGGTGTTGTTCCTTCTCTGTGGGGACACGAGAGCCTCACTCGCACCTGCGGGGCCTCAGCCGGCCCTGTCCCCGCAGACTCCCTGCAGCCCCATCTAGAGCCCCACGCTGAGCCCCAGTCACCCCACCTGGAAAAGAGGGTGAGAAAGAAGAGTCTCTGGATGGGCCAAACCGTTAACTGTCGACCAGAGGCACCCATGGAGAAAGGCCGGGCGTCTCCTCCTGCAGACTGGGCCGCTAAACCCCCCTGAAGCTGTTGGCGGAAGACAAACAAGGTTTCGCTACATCTATGCCTTGTGTGCTGTGTTCAGACACGGATCGTTCCGGCAATCCTGTGACGGTCATTCTGGTATGTTTTACTTATGCTTGTTCCTATTAGGGTATATCTCAGAGGGGCGTCGCCTTTAGGGGTCACTCTCTGGAGCTGTGTTATGTGTTTCTCTGTTTTTCAGTAAATGAAACCCAGGGACGTTGAGCCTTCAGGGAAAGCCAATAGAACACGGGTTTCAGGGGGAGGGGGATCTAGAGGTGTCGGGAAGATGAGAGGGAGATGGTGTCAAGAAGCCCAGGAAGGAAAAGCAGGTTTGGAGACTGATGATGGAAGCAACTGTACAATTCTGTTTGACGTGATGGAACTGTGGAGTGATAAGACCTATGTATCAACTCCCCAGTTACAGCAGATTGGGGGGGAAAAGCCTAGATCCAGGAATGGGTTTTGGGCTCGCCGCACTAAATCCTAGCTCCAGCGTTAGAACAATTAGTTCTTACATCATGGCCCTGCTCGATACTCACCCTCAGGAAGGGAACACAGAAGACACAGGAGCTACAGCAAAATGTAGCAAAAAATGTGGGTGGTGCTCAGCTATCCGGTAAAATAGTAATTGGGGTCCTAACGGCTTGTCTTCAAACAAGCAGCCATCTAAACGAGATGTCAACGAAGGCCACATGGACGAAGCACACCATCATCAGTCACCGAAGGATCGGAATCCATACAATCCGAAGTTGAAGGAGGCATCCATCCGTACCATAGCCTAAATGGTGAGAATCCGGTGTGCAGAAGGCGATGGATGAGAGTGGAAGCCCAAGATTCATTTGTGGAACTACCTAGAAAAAATGCCTCCGGAGGACTCCCCCTGTCTAAAATTGAGGGACAGGAGGGAAGTGGTCCCTGAACAGAGTGCTTGGGACAGAGGAATATAGAGGATCAGGCAGGGATCTGACTTGAACAGTTAAAATGTTGTGGGCAGATGCCCCCTGTGATGCGGGCTGGACCTGATCTGGTTTCCAAAATGCTCTGTATTTGGGTTTGTATTGTTTTGCTTGTTCACATGAGAGTGCATCTCAGAGGCCACCCCCTTGTGTTCTGTGCTTCCCTGGCTTTCGGTATGAAACCCAGAGTGGATGAACCTAGAGGGACAGCAGTCGAATTGGGGGTTTGGGGGAAGGGGGGTACAGTGGGGGTGGGGCAAAAGGGAGCCGATGTCAAGGAGCCCATGTGATAAAAAGTGTTTGGAAACTGATTGTGGTCGCAACTGTATGTTCTACCTGACGTGACTAAAATTTGGAACGGTGTATGTATTACATCCTAACTAATCATAATAAAAATTAAACTACATTTTGAAAACCCTCTGGAGCACGTGGGGTCATCATGAGCCAGAATGGATCCGACAGCCACCTGCTTGTCAGTTTTCAATGGAGGGGAGACGTCTGGAAGCACAGGGTCAGAACTGCTTGGCCTACACTTTCTCCGGCTTCAAGGAGACGAGGTCTGTGGAAAGCAGTGACAATCATAGCAGCTCACACTTGGAGGACATGCGCCGAGGTTTACCAAAGGCAAGCAAGCAAACAAACACTTCACGGTCATGCATTTGTATGACTCGAACATTTAACATTTTGTCTCCAGTGTGTCTGTCTGTGTTGGAAACAGGGTTGCATCTGGAACCCATTCAGGCACCGGGGCTTTCTGGTCAGCACTGCGTGCACTCCGGTACACCTCTGGTCGTGGGGCTCCCGTTTCCCTGAGAACTTGGCCACCAAGGGCTGCACGTTTGAGTGTGTCATGTGTGTGACATGAAACTGTGAAGTAGTGGGACTTAAAGATGTAACGGCTTATCAGCATTTGAAGATAACGGTACTTGATAACCTCTTTTTTAAAATTGCCTCCACCGTTTAAGCTGGGAAGTCATTGGGATAGAGAAACGAACAGTTATCTACATGCCATGTGAGGGCTTGGGTCCGTGCATTAAGAATTGTGTCCAATAAGGCATCATCGGAACAAAAAATCTTACCATAGTGAATGATGGGGGGAGTGCGGAGTGGAGACCCAAAGCCCATTAGCAGGCCACTGGAGATCCCCTCTTGCAGGGGTCTCGGGGAGGAGACGAGCCAGTCAGGGTGCGATGTAACAATGATGAGAAATACAACTTTCCACTAGTTCCTAAATGTTTCCTCCCCGCTCCCACTACCATGACTCGAATTCAACCTTGCAGGTCTGGCTAGACCAGAGGAGGTACACTAGTACAGATAGGAACTGGAAACACAGGAAATCCAGGGTGGATGAGCCCTACAGGACCAGTGGTGTGAGTGGCGAAACAGGGAGGGTAAAGGGAGAGTGGGTAGGAAAGAGGGAACCGATTACAAGGAACTATATGTGACCTCCTCCCTGGGGGAAGGACAACAGAAAAGTGGGTGAAGGGAGACATCGGACAGGGCAAGATATGACAAAATACCCATTTATAAACTATCAAGGGCTCATGAGGGAGGGGGGAGCAGGGGGAGGGAGGGGAAAAATGAGGACCTAATGTCGGGGGTTTAAGTGGAGAGAAAATGTTTTCAGAATGATGTACAAATGCGCTTTACACAATTGATGTGTGTGTGGATTGTGATAAGAGTTGTATGAGCTCCTAATAAAATGATTTTTAAAAAAAGAATTGTGTCCAAATTGTTCATAATGTCTCTGTACAACCTCAAAACAACCAATAACATGCCAGTTGCAGAAGGAGAAGGAGGAGGAGGAGCACCGAGACCTGATGCCATTGAGCTGCTTCTGACTAACAATGGCCCCGGGTCACTCAGCAGAACTGCTCCGGAGCCTCTCAGTGCCTGCAGTCTTGACCCACTAAGGCCCAGGTGCCAGGCCTTTCCTCCTTGGTGCCCCTGGGTGAGTCTGAACAGCCAACCTTAAGGTGTAATGGAACGCCAACTGAGCCCCCAAAGCACCCCTGCCAAGTCCCACAGACTCTGTTTTAAGTGCATTGTATTATTTAATTCTCACAACAACGTCTCTGTAATAGGTACTATTAACACTCCTCTTACAAATGAAGAAACCGAGGCACAGAGGTTGAAGCCCTTGTCTGAGGGCAGACTGCACCCACGGGTCAGACGCCATGTTCTCACCCAGACCTGTCCCAGGCTCATGTGTGCCCTTGGACCTCAGGCCTCATTTAGACCAAAGGACATGCACCAAAAAAGCCTTTTTGGAGCCCATTGTTCATGTCCCTTCTGGGAAAGTCTACGGGAGTGACTCAGAGGCCCAACAAGGGCCATGCCATGTCCAGAGCTACATCTGGAAGCCGGGCCTGCTGCCTCCCACCTAGAAGCTCTGTCGTGGACGCTGCGTGGCCTCCCTTTGGGAATCTCTTCTCCCAATAACTTTGGAAGCAGGTGTTGGCCAGCAGCACTGCCCAGGATTGGGAAGAGTCATGGGGTGGCTGGATGTGGGCGCTGGCCCAGCATGGCTGCCACAGCCTCCCAGGTGACAGAGGCAAGAGTCCAGTCTCATCAAGCTTGTGCAGCGGCTGGGGGGATGGAGGAGCAGCGTGTTGATGGTCAGTTGGAGTGGTCTGGAGATTGGGGCCTGCCGTGCAGTAAGGCTACTCTGCCCCCTCCCCGTCCTGGCAGTTCTGACTCATGACAGCCCTATAAGGCAGGGAGAACTGCCTCTGTGGGTTTCCGAGGCTGGAACTGCTTACGGGAGTGAAAGCCTCCTCTTCCTCCCGCAGAGCAGCTGGTGGGTTTAAACCACTATCCTTGCAGCTCACAGCCCAACACGAAACCACTCCGCCACCGGGCTCCTTCTGCTCGTCCCACCCACTCCAAATCTGCAGCGGCCATGACTCTTCAGGCTGCCCAAACTGCCTCCATCAGGCAGGCAGCACTAACAATGGAAGCTACCTGGTATAGAGCCCAGCCACCTTGATGAAAAGGAAGTGCCCACCACTGGTGCCCAAATGACCCCTTGGTTAAGGGCATGGAAGAGAGAGCAGGAGCAGCTGGCACTGCGCGTCTCTCCAACCCTGGGCTCCCGTGTTCCTCCACAGAGCCTTCCCCTGTGCCCTCTGAGGAGGATGGTCTCCTGACTTTTGTGATAAAACCAGGCCCTGAGCAGAGGCAGGCAAGTTCGAGAGTGGAAGCGGATTCAGTAAAAGGGGCAAAGCAAAGATGCATAGAAGCGGGGTGGGGGTGGGGGTAAGGGGGTGGCTCACATAGGATGGGGCAGCATGTTTAAGGGAAACAAAAGGCCAGACAAGATGGGGTGTTGGAATCATGGCTCTAATGTTTGTTGAGAGATGAGGAAAAGGATGGAGCGAGTCTGGTTTTGAGGACGAGCTCTGCTGTGGAGAGTCTGGCAGGGTCACCTTAGCCTGAGACTCGCAGACTCTCCCGTTCCTGGCTTCCGAGATCTTGATCCAGAGGTTCTGTGGTTCTGAGTTCTGGTGGTGGTTCTGAGACGGCAATTCTGAAAACCTATGAGCTCTTAGCTCTAGAGTTCAGGATTCCTTCCTTCTGGGATTCTTTGTCTCCATCATTTTCTGACTCTATGGAATGTGGTTCTGTCCCGCAACAATGAAAAATACAACTTTTCTCTAGTTCCTAAATGTTTCCTCCCCGCTCCCACTATCATGATATGAATTTTACCTTGCAAGTCTGGCTAGACCAGAGGATGTACACTGG